CTTGGCCGGAAACAAACCTGGGACCCTCCAGTCTGCAGGCCGAGACTCTATCCACTGAGCCAAACCGGTCAGGGTAGTAATCTGTGTTTTTGCCTCCCTAAACAAAGTTTATGTAAAACAAAGTTACCCAAAGATTAATAGCAGAAATTTAATTAATGTCATTTACTGTCCATAACTTAGGGCAAGTAAAGTTAAAAAATAAACCTTATTTTAGATTGATTTAAATTGGCTAATTAAAATAAATGAATATTCATAAAAACTTTGTTGTACTGGGCAGGAAACTGTTCCTGAAGCATTAACTAATTTTTTACTAATGGTTTATCTCATAGTAAACTTGCTTAAAATGCAATGAATCCAAAGCAGTCATATTTCTGTGCAGAAAATTAAAATTAAAAAGTTATCAAGACTGCATTGCAAAATTTCCAAAAGCCTTTTTTATTTAAATCAAAAAAGAAGAGGGATAGTGTAACAATCCCCTGTGAGTAAATTACATCAAGAAAATTTTTTACTTTAAAAATTATTTTTCAATTGTAATGCTAAAGACAAGAAACCCATGAAAACAAACATGGTGTCAAAATAAGTCATTGTGTTTGGGCACAGTGAAAAGAAAGGATGCCATGTCTAGTTTATAGAAAAGAATCCTTTATTAACCTTTGGTCGAGAATATGTTTGTATATTTCCAGAAAACTCCTCTAAGCCCATGTGGATTCCTGCAACAAGGGATCCCAGAAAACAACTGACCAGATTGCTCCAGCCACGAAGACAAGAGGAGAAACAGTCCAGAGATGGGAGATGGTGAAGACGCCTTGCCATACTAACAGTCAGCACCTGTGTGTTGCGACAGGTTGCCCAGGACCAAGCCAGAGAAGGTCAGACCTGCACTGCCACCATTTGCCCACCATCCTGAGCTAGCATATCATTACTGGCATGTACACATAAGGAACTGTTGGACATTGAAATTGGGACACAAAAAACTGTTGGCCCAGAAAGAAACTTACAACAGACTGATTCCTTGGATGCCTGGCAGCAATTTAAAAAGGACATGACATTTGCCTCTCAGCATATGTCACTATTGCTTGTCTCGTTTTTGTTCTCATGTTTATTTCTCGTCTGCAGATGTGGAATGAAGAGTCTTAAAAGGACTCGAACCCTTTTGGGCGGCATTCATTTTTCAAGATTTTTTAAGGAAAAGAAAAGGGGGAGATGTGGGAAACCGCCTACTGTCTTCTCTAGCAGAGAGGTGTGGACAAGGAGCCCAGAATGCTGGTGACCTTGAAGCCCTGGCAAAGGTCAGAGCTGTGTACCCACTGTTTAGTCCAGACAATGGTAGCTGAAGCAACTTCCCCACCAGATAGTCATGTAAATCCTTACTGATAAGATAGTCTGTCTGTTACTGGAACTTGCCTGTTTAAGGGCTATAGGTGTATCCCAAAATGAATAAAAGGATGGCAAGGCCTGAGCAAAAGTGGAGTCCATCCTCTTGGGATGGGCTCTCACCTGGCCCCCAATTTCCAAATTATTTTCTGTCTCGTCCCTTTCATTTGTGTGCGCCCCCTCTTCCAGATCCTGAACCCTGAGCCACACGGGACATGGGGGAACATACACAAGCGTCAACCTATGAACCAAGAGGTCACAGTTCAATTCCTGGTCAGAGCACATGCCTGGGTTTTGGGCTCGATTCCCAGTGTGGGGCGTGAAGGAGGCAGCCAATTGATGATTCTCTCTCATCATTGGTGTTTCTATCTCTCTCTTCCTCTCCCATCCTCTCTGATATCAACAAAAAATTGTTGCCCAGCCCTACCTGGTTTGGCTTAGTGGATAGAGAGCATCAGCCTGCGGACCCAAGGGTCCTAGGTTCAATCCCAGTCAAGGGCATGTACCTCAGTTGCAGGCTTGATCCCTGGCCCTGGTCCGGGGCCAATACGGGAGGCAACCAACCCATGTGTCTCTCACAGTGATGTTTCTTTCTCTCTCTCTCTCTTTCCTTTCCTTCCACTCTCTCTAAAAATTGATGGAAAATATCCTCGGGTGAGGATTAACAAAATAAATAAATAAGGCTTTATGACCTAAAAAAACAAACAAAAAAAAACACAGTTGCCCAGCCCAGCCAGGTGTGGCCCAGTGGTTGAGCATTGACCCAGGAATCAAGAGGTCACTGGTTCGATTCCAGGTCAGGGCATATGCCCAGGTTGCGGTCTTAATCCTCAGTGTGGGGTGTGCAGGAGGCAGCCGATCAATGAATGATTCTCTCTCATCATGGATGCTTCTATCTCTCTCTCCCTCTCTCTTTCTTTAGGAAATCAATAAAAAAAAAAATTTAAAAAAAATGTTGCCTAGATATTTTGAAGGGCTTAAGTTTGAAGTTTATTTCTTCTTTAAAACAAAATCCCTTTGGTGGCAGTGGTCATTGGTTTCTTGGCCCTCCCCATTTGGTTTCCAAAGACATTCACAAATAATGAATCTTTTACTTGGCCCCATGGCATAGATACTACATCAGCTCTGGTAATAATGGTTGTTAATCAATTACTGTCAAAGAGACAAAATAGAGAAAGCAACATTATATTTCATCTGAGTCTCAGAGTAATAATATTACTCTAGATTAATATAAAGTAAGCTAGATTTGGTCTCCAGATATTTAATAAAGGCCCTTCACATGGCTCATCCTCGTAAGAGCCCAAGCCATTGATGGCCATAAGATAGCAACAAGATGGAAAAGATAAAAAGACTCTATCTAATAGGGGTGAACATGAATAAGAATAATTATCAATTATTATGGCTGACAGACCATAACTATCAATGTGCAATAGCAAATCAAGGTAGACAACATGTACACATATATTACACAAAGTACTCAAGTCGAAACATATCAGTATTATTACAACTTTCACAAGGGGACAGAGCCCTAGCTGGGTGGCTCATGGTTGGAGCGTCATCCTGTACAACAAAAGGTTGTGGGTTTGATTCCCAGTCGGAGTACATACCCAGGTTGCAAGTTCAATCCTCAGTTGGGGCACGTACAGGAGGCAACCAATCAATGTTTCTCTCTTACATTGATGTTTTGTTTTGTTTTTCTCTCTCTCCTTCTCCCTCTAAAAAATAAAATAAAATAAAAACCACACACACACACACACACACCAGATCCTCAGGTAAGGATTTTTAAAAAAAACAGAAGGAAAAGGGGAAAGTGTAGATGGAGAAGGGATAAAGGAGTTGGAATTATATCCTCATAGAAATTCTAATGAGAGAATGTATACAGCAGCCTGTCTGCAATTTTACAGAAGACATTTGCCAGCACTTGAGAAGCATTTGGCACTGACCACTTCCAATGTTTCAAGGAATAGACACAGAGAAAAATAATTGCATTCCCCTGGCAGAGTGTCTAAAGCTTCCTAGTTTTGACAGCTGCTTCCGGAGACATAGTTTATCTGAGCCATACAAAGTTCAAGTTATCACTGAGTGAAGGAAGGAGAAAAATACATACCTGTGCATTCCTCCTCTCAGGGAGGCAGAGTAACGCCAGTCAGGATTGGGCTGTCGTGGCTGCAAAATCACAAAGGGAGTTTTTGTTAATATGACCAAACAATAATCTCCTGGTGATGATGTTCATTGATTAGTTGTTTCTTAAATATTTCCATGCATCTAAAAAAAAAAAAAAGGTACTGAAGGAGCCTTCTCATGTGTCACACTAAGATGGCATCCATACAGATGGCAGTTCGGGAGAAAATCAGATGATCTCGTCAGGGTCCTTGCACAGGCTAAATATCACAGAAAACCAGATTTAATGATGCTGTGAGGACCGGCTTCAGCTTCACCTCACTCAGAACAGGTCTGTGTTCTTAAAGCAGCACTGTGGAAGGGCCATCTGTTTTGAGACAGGAAAAGCTTTGTTACTTTTGCCCTAAATGCCCCCTTAGGGACACATCCCCAGTTTGGCGTTTGAGCTGTAACAGGGCACATGACTACACAGGCTCTGCAGGTCTGGCTGGACTGCAGAGCACTGCAATCTGCTGCTGGATTTGTAAACTGCAGCGTGTTTGACCCAGGACGATGTGCCCCGTCATGACGCCAGCAACTGGTAACTAACTGCCTCCTCTGCAGATTGAAGAGGAATGCTAGGAAGAGGAAAACAAACCACGGAGCAGTTTGGCCTTGTTTTGCTACATACTCCTTTCCATACTCCTTTCCATGAAATTCCCTCCTTCTCTGCGTGCTTTGCCTCCTCGCTCAGTTACTGTTCACTAAGCTCTAATTGTTTCACAGGGAATCGCTGACATGTCAGAAGATGGCTCATTCTGCACCATTTTATTTTTTTCTCTGTATTATAATGATCATATTTAGTAGACACAAAGCCAGAGTAATACCAATAAACTATTTCAAAATGTCAATAATTCTTGTTCCTATCATAGTTCATTCACAGGATGCACAGTATTCCATAAACACACTTCTTCCCAACATCTAGAGCAGTGATTAGCAGCTCAGCTTCCAGAAAGACTTTGAGATGGCTAAATGATATTCAAAGATTCAGCCAAAGTCAAGATCCAGGAAAGGCTACAGCGCTGGGATACTTTAAATGTCTCCATCCATTAACTGTCCTCTCTGGTCCTTTCCACTCCATCGGCAACATATGAATATGCAAGCTGCTTCATCTTTGCTTTAAGTTCACAAAATGCTATGGATCTTCTATATAAAGTAGCATAAAACCATCTACAGACAGAAGGAGGGGGTTCCCATTTTATATCAGTGGTGTTAGAGGGAACAGAAGAGAAGATATTTGCAAATCCTTTTATAAACTTGAAACTATGACGGAAGTACTTTTTATTAATCAGATCATCACCATCTTTCACCTTACTGTCAGCAGTCTTAGCATCAGCTTGTCAATTGTGAGAACCTTCCTTCAAGAAAGACTTTGACATCTGTTGAATGAATGCTGCCAATTTTTCAATGATTGGGTAACATTCATGATGAAAATTGCTGCAGCTTGATCTTTGGAATGGAATCACCAGCCTCATTTTGCTGAATGGCAAAGTTCTAGCAGGATTGACCAGGAAATTCAGTTCCTCACACAAACTCACTTCCTCAGCAACATTTAATTTGTCATGCTGCTATTTTCTAGAATAGACCATCAGCAACAAGATGCTTCTGAACTTCATTTGCCAGAATCATAGTTATGATGGCAGTAAGATCAGGCAGGGAAAAGGTAAAGAAGAAAGCAATAAATGTTTTAAGTATCCACAGTAGGCAATGGGATAAGCACTTTTACATTTTATTGCATTTATCCTAACACATTCTTTGTTATATAATACATTTTATAAAAATGATTTATCTGTTTTGTTCATAAACCATGAGTATCCAAAAATATTCATAATACATAGCTATGTCCTTAGAGCCTAGCAGGATTCAGACATTTTTAGGTTTTTAAAATGTTTTTGAATAAACTATCATGCAACATTACTGTACTTAAATTATAGAAGTGAGAAATACGAGTTTTAGAGAGATTAAGTTACTTGCCTAATTGGTGGATTTGGCTGATAGTTATGCTTAGGTCCTAATGTGAAAGTTGTGTTTTAAATAAATTTACATGAAATTATATATTTTTTTCTTTTTTCTCTGTTTTACTTCTGAATTTCCCAAATATTGCTTTATATTAACATAATACAAAATTAAAAGTAATAAAATATACACAGATTTTATCCAAATTTGATTAAACTTGGAAAAATTTCAAGTTGAAAGGATGATTTCTGATACACTTAACACAGTGAACACATATATTAAGGCCCTGAACTAATTGCCATTATTTAATTCTTGGATGGTACATCACAGGACTATGCTTAATTTCTATTGGTGAAAAGCCCCAGTATGGGCTATTGTTCCAAAGCTTAGTCCTTTAATAGAATCATGGTCACAAAATTCCAGATGTGGAGAAACTCAATTAGGTATTCTATATGGGTGATATAGTTTAATTAATAAACAAAACCCATTCAAGTTTCTATAAAATTACACAAAGATTTTACTTATCCTGCAATGATATTTTGGTTATTTTTACCATAGAATATTTGACCTACAGAAAGGTGAATCACCTTTTCCAAGACAGATATAAAATAAAATAGGTTAAAAATACCCTATGTCTCCTGGCCAGAGTGGCTCAGTAGTTGAGCGTCAATGACCTATGAACCAGGAGGTTATGGTTCAATTCCCAGTCAGGGCACATGTGGGCTTGGTTCCCAGTAGTGGGTGTGCAGGAGGCAGCTGATCAATGATTCTCATCATTAATGTTTCTATCTCACTCTTCCTCTCCCTTCCTCTCTGAAATCAATAAAAATATATTTTTAAAATACCCTATGTCATTCATAAAGTCATAGGACTACTCAGGAAATAATATGCTATCTTCTTATCATGAAAATTCATGCTGAAGCTATCAATAAATGGCCCTCTGAAACATGAGACTAGATGGAGCATCTCATTTTCCATCCTAATAGGACTCTATTAAGGATGTATCCACTGTAGATTTTTCACAGTGATATTCTGTGAACATTGATATAATCAGTGATAGGCAGAATCCTAAAATTGCCCCCAAGACCCACACACCACAGTGTATATGCCCTGAATAATCTCCAAGACTGTATATGATGGATCTTACTCCGTATTAGGTTATGTTACATGGCACAATTGACTTAAGAAAGGAGGATCAGGAGAGAAACCAAGATGGCAGCATAGGTAAACACCTGAAATTGCTGGCTCGCACAACCGCTTCAAAAATACAACTAAAAGGCAAAATGGACACCATCCAGAACCACAGGAAGGCTGGCTGAGTGGAAATTGTACAACTAGAAGGAAAGAGAAAAGCACACTGAGACTCAGAGGAGGTGCGGAAGTAAAGTGCAGAGGTACGGAGGCGCACCCAGAAAGGGCTGGCAACTGAGGACGCGGTTGTCTTTTTCATTCGGGAGGGAGTCTCGAGCTCCTGACTGCTCTGAACTCCAGTTCTGGGCAAGTCTCTGGGGACCCAGACTCATACGGGGAGAAACTGGACTGTCTGGCATCGGGCGGAACTCGAGGGCGGCTTTCTCTCAGAGGTGCTTGCAGCAATTACTGCAGGACACTGAGACCTGGGGCCTCTTAGGGCAGGACTGAGGCTCAGTCATAGCTGTTTGCTCTGCCCTGTTGATTCCCTGAGATCCTGCCCCACCCAAGTTGGGCAGAGAGGCTTTTGCATATGAATAGCCTGACCCTTTGTAATCTAAAATTACCTAACAAACTGCAGCTGGGTCAGAGAGAACCAGAACATCCAAAAGAAGGCTCAAGGCCCCACAGCAGCTTGCATTGCTTCACAGCTGGGCCTCATCTGGGCACCTCCAAATCCCAAACAAAGAAGAGGAATCTGCAGATCTCTCCATAGCTCCTGCAGGGTAGCCTCAGGCAGAAGCTAAATTAGCACCTCCTTAGAGATCCAAGAACCAGTGTACCCAGTGGTCAGAGTGGGACTATCCACATTAGAATTCCTCAGATCCATAAGGGACATACTGAGGGGGCAGACTCAGTGAGCACCAAAGCCCCACTGAAGCAAGTCTTACCCCAGAAAGGTGTCTCCAGCACAGAAGTTCTCCCACTGCAGACACAG